CATCAAAGGAAGAAAGAGGAATCGAGGCTGTAAACAAAAAAGACAAAACAATCCAGGCAATAAGAGAAGCCTTAGAAGGAGGAAAAAAAGAGATGAAAGGAATTGCACTGGGGTTATGCCAATGGAAGGACGGAAATATATGGTACGATGGAAAACAGTGGATCCCGGAAGAAGAAGGGATAAGGACAGACATCATACAACAACACCACGATATCCGAACGGCAGGACATGGAGGGACGGCTAAAACCACAGAATTCATCACGAGGTCATTCTATTGGCCAGGACTGCGCGAAGATGTCAAACAATATGTCAAAAACTGTGACATATGCCAAAGGACGAAAACGGCTAAACGCACACCATATGGATTACTAAAATCAAACGAAGTCCCCAAACAACCATGGGAAACAATTACTATGGATTTCATCACGGACCTACCAACATCGGAAAATTGCGATAGCATCTTGGTCGTGGTGGATCGCCTGACCAAAATGAGTCATTTCATTCCGGTTAGAAAAGACATCAACACGAGGGATTTTATACAAACATTCTTCCGAGAGGTCTTTCGACTTCACGGCCTCCCAAAGAATATCATTACCGATCGAGGAACACTATTCACATCGGGACTATGGAAGAAAGTAACCGGAGAAATGGGGATACAAAACAGAATGAGAACAGCGTTCCACCCACAAACGGATGGACAAACAGAACGGGTAAATGCGATACTCGAACAATATTTAAGGGCCTATGTCAATTATCAACAAGATGATTGGTACAAGCTGTTATCTATGGCCGAGTTCGCATACAACAATGGAAAGCAAGAAACAATTGGCACGACACCCTTCTTCGCAAATTACGGACAACATCCACAAAGTCAGACCACATATCATACGATTAATGATGTGATACCGGATAAAACCGATATGGGGAAACTACACGAAATATTACAATACGAAATAAGTCAAGCACAACAACGACAGAAGGAACAATACGATAAGCACCGAAGACCAGATCCGAACATACGACCAGGAGACATAGTATGGCTAATACCACGCAATATTCATACAATGCGATCATCAAAGAAATTGGACTACAAGAAAATAGGACCATTCCGGATACTGGAAAAAGTGGGCAGCCAAGCTTATAAACTTGACCTTCCCCCCTCAATGCGAATATACAATACATTCCACATCTCACTCCTCGAACTACACAATGACAATAAGTTTCCTTCACAAACACTTATTCCTCCCCCTCCAATCGAACTCGACGGAGAACCAGAATACGAGCTCGACGAAATAGTCGATTCCCGCTTCTTCCACGGTCACCTCCAATACCGAGCCAAGTGGACAGGATATTCTCCTAAACACGATAAAACTTGGTACTTTGCATACAACTTCGAAAACGCACAAGATGCCATCTCAACGCTTCCACCAGCGATACCCAGGCAAGCCCGGCCCAGGTGACAATCACGTTCAACCAAGCAAAGAAGAGGGAAAGACTCCCACGCCGTTGCAACAACACGAGGGCTGGGGCGATAGCCCCCGTCAAACCACACCCACCAGCCCCGAATACTCATTCATGGGACCAACCAACGAAGAACTCAAGGAAAGGGAAAGACAAGCACAGCATAACGCCATGTCATGGACGGTATGCTACGATGACGGTTGCCAAACACACTTTGGCGACAAGGAAGGCTCAGGATGGTTCCCGAGGGAATGCTGAAAGCATGGCCCATGCCCAGACCACGTCCTGAAGCATTGGCAACAATGCTTCAGAAATGGGTGCAGGATACACAGGGCACAAAAAATATCTGCAGGATTCTACCGGCAGAAGGATGGGAGCCGAAAAGAGTTGGAAGGAGAAGATGCCAGAAAGGCATGGGCAGCGAGGACGTGGTCCAAGGAGGGAGGGGCCCAAAACTCCTCGGCAGACACGGAACCGGATGTCAGGAGCCTACACAGGCAGATCCGGGGACTCCGAGAACAACTAGGCCAAGCCGAGGCCACAATTTCGGCAAACGACAAAACGATCGCGGAGCTCAGACAGCTGAACGACAATCAGTGGCAGACGATTGAGATGGCGAATCTGACTCTGGAATCGGTAAGAGTCAGATGGAGGACGGCAGACGAAAAGTTCCACAAGCTGAGAAGGACCATGCACTCAGCAGGACGGGAACTATTGAAACTGGGAGAAAAAGCCTGATGGGACTCAGGCTTAGGGGGAGGGGAGCTAATGTCATGAACGTGGCTTAGCGAGTAAAGGGTTTTTCACATGACACATAGTTATGAGTCACAGGTATGTTATTGTTTCACGCATATGACCTATTCGGGTTATATGATTAGTTATGTGTGGGATTTGTGATGCTTTCACACATGGCTCAAGTATGAGTCAAGGGACAAGCGCCTGACGAGTATGCCTTATGAGTGTGCCTTACAGGCATGCCTTGCGCATATGATTTATGTTTCGCACATGACCTCATTATGATGTCATGGGTTTCGTGCATATGACTCAGTCGAGTCATGTGACTTGTTTATTGCGTTATGATTGGTTTATGAGTTTAGCACATAACCTCGCTAAGAGGTCATGGGTTTTGAGCATGTGATCACTTTAGTCACATGACTAGTTTGTTGTGATTTAGTTTTGCACATGTGACCACTTTAGGTCACATGACTAAAGGCGGGAAGAACACTATATAAGGAGGCCGATGCGGCCGAGGAAGATAGGTTCTTCACGCTTTGTTCTAAGTACTTTTCCTACTTATTACTTTAACGAATACCAAACACCTTTACGATCTTTATCTTTAGTGCAACAATATCATTACGACAAGAAGCGCTCGTCACGAAGACGAGTTAGAGAAAGCTTACGATAGGCGTTTCCGATAGAAGACAAAAGTCTTGTATTATCGGTAACGTAGGCAGAGGCCTAGAGCTATCGTAAAGACAAAGAGAAGAAGAAAGACAGGAAGAGAAGTATCGTTCCCCGTCGCTAAGCACTAACTATCTAAAGAGGGATCGTTACAGCGACTAAGGAAGATTGAATATAGGAATACCTCTGCAGATACAAACATGCAGATGAAACTGATCATTTTATCGATAAGGTAGACTATTTGGGCCAACTCAGTTTAACTTGAGAACTAGACCATAAGTCTAACAACTCTGAAGATCAGATAATTACTATTGAGAATAGCATAGTTCCTAATTAGTAAAATATTAATAGCCGAAGGGGACGTGGTGGTTTCCAGGGTCTCCAGATGTTCATACTTTTGAAGAACACCCAACATTGCGAGTTATAACCTGAGAGGTACATAGTTTGTATAACGGATAGATGTAGTCCATGAATACTCAGATGCGGAATATAAATATTGAAGTACTTTTCAAGCTTTTAGATATCATCAAGCAACAGACAAGAGACCTTAATAATATAATATTATTCTTATGATTCTATTCTATTTTTCTTATTTTGCCTTACTCTCAGTAGTCATAAAAGAAACAAGTAGTTTTTGAGCCTTCCTTAACAACCTCTGTCTACTGAAATAAATCTTGGTTGGCCTAGACAACTCTGAGTCTATACAGGTTGTCTCTGCCTAATAGAGGCTTCTACTTTCTGCCTGTACTATGAGACCGAACCTGAGACCTTTCACCATGTCATCCTTTCCTGCCCATCTCACAAAAGGGCCAGAGATCTCCACCTCCCAGGGGTCAATAGCCTGGGTCAAGGCAAACCTCTTTGATCAATGTCAGCCCTACTCCATAGTCTGGCTACCTACATCTCCGCCACTTCAACTGGCTTTCCCCCTGACATTCCTGCTTACAAGGACCACTCTTCCTCACTCTTATCCACCCCTACTACCAATTCCCTCTGCCTCTCTCTCTTTTAATAGGTTTCTTTGAATGGATAAAGGCTCAGCTCAGAGTTTGTCTCCTTTGTAAATGTTTCCCCCAGTTAGTTTGAGAGTTTCCCTTTATTTTGCTTTACTTTGTCTTTGCAGTATTGGTTGTTTGTGACAGTTGGAGGCACTAGTTTGGCTTTCTTTGTTGAATGTTTTTAGGATTAAAGGTTTTGTTTACACCATAGCTTGCACTACATGCAAGTTCTTGTACCTTAACAATAAATACACGACAATAAGAAAAATTAAAAAATTAAAAAAATTAAAAAAGAGAAAAATACCATTAAAGTTAACAATAATAATAGGGAATAGTTAAACGACCTCGAGTTATACACAAATATAGAGCTTATTATTAGTAGGATTCGACAAGTAGTGACATTGCTGACCAGCAACAAAGCTACTACCCCTCTTACACTTACCTTTAAATCTACCGTAATTGCTTTCTGATATCATAACTCAGTTATGAAATTCAGCTTTTTCATCTCAAGTTCATTTTATCCACTTAGACCGCCGCCTCGTACTCATCCTCTTCTACTCCATCTCTACGCTGCTAACTCAGTGAGCGAATGAGATATGACTATGGAATAAGAAGGCAACTCTTACAGTCATGGACTAGGCTCCTACCGGGATATCCCATAAAACCATAATCTTCACCTATACAACTTTTTATTGGAAAATCATTTCTTAGAAAAAGTACCTGAAGAAAGAACCACTCCCTTTTCTGCCGCTGTCTTTCCAAAAATACGTCTTTTACCATCCATACAATAACTACCAGAGCACAAAGAATATGTCCGATAAACTGATTCTCAATGTTAATTTTGTAAAGTGCCATTATGCAAAAACCTTGGTATGAAAGAGTATCATGATTGCCGGACATCTGGGGCGTTTGCTTTCATTTTTTTTGTAGTTAGTTTTGAATCTTAGCCTGTCTTTTCTTGGCATCGCTTGGAGCCTGTTTGGTTGCGATGCTCCCATTCTGTTGTCCAATACAGAATAATAGATAGTTTCAAGTTTGAAGGACAACCATTTTTATATGGGAAACAGTCGCAAAACGGAATGGAGCTATTGCAACCAAACAGGCCCATACTCTTTGGTTGAACCTTGCGCAACCTGGTACTAAAAGTATCATACCCGAAATTCGGCATATGATGAAGGGATAACCCAATTGATTACCTGGAAAACAAATGTCCAACAAAACTACTAATCACTAACCCACCCAGCCAGCAACCAAGCCAGAGCTAATAAAAAAAGGAAAAACCCCTATCCAAGCATTCTCCAATAAATCTATCTAAAAGTAGACTTACCCCCAAATACCCCTCTTTTATCTTATACTCTTCAGCTCCACCACTTCCCTCTCTCCTTCTCCTTGTGCAACCTCTCCTCCACAACCCTAGGTGCGGTAAGCACCCAACTCCACTTCTCACTCCCGTCAACCACAAGCCTGTACTTTAGCACGCCCTGCTCTTCGTTCGTTGTATCAACTGTAATGGCTCCAAACTTTCTATTCCCATCTGGAACATACTTGATCAGCAGATCCTCATTGTCGAGCTGCTTATATGTCCTAATCGGCACAAAGAACTGATTCAACGGGGAGCATGAGAATTCGTGGACAGTGCTAGCAATTGAGTACCCAGAATCTGGTGGTGGAGGGAAAGCCGTCGCGGCGAATTCGTGGCGGTCACCGGAAAGGATGACCACTCGCCCACCGCCGATTCTCCACATTTGCTGAAGGAGTTCCTGGCGCTCGTAAAGATATCCAGCCCATGTGTCTCGGCCGTTCACACGCCAGTTTTTGGTAAAGGGGACGCTGCTAGCGATTATCTTCCAACCGCTACCTTGAGACAGCCAGTGCAGGAGGTCGGCCTTTTGACGTGCCCCGAGCATGGTCTTTTCCGGGCCATCAGGGGAGTGGACGGGGGAGCGGTAGGTGCGTGTGTCAAGCATGAAGAAGCTGGCCGCGGAACCGTAGTCGAAGGTGTAGTAGGGGTCACCGGCCGGACGGACAGGAGGTGGGTTGACAGAGTGCTGGTAGATGTTGAAGGGATCTATCGCCGCGGGGTAAACGCCCGTAGTATTTGAAGACCAGTCGTTGGCGATTTCGTGGTCGTCAATTACGTGAATCCATGGGAGGTTAGCCCCTACCGAAGGCCAGTCCGGGGAGGCGTAGATCTGGCGGTATTGTCTGGGAGCATTAGTGTTGCGACCTTTGGTCGTTGGAAAACACGGGACAATATAAAACTCACTGCCTATAGCTCTCCTTGTCAAGCCCTGGCCTCCTCGGCACATCGATATAAATGAAGTCCCCCAAAAACAACATAAACCTCGCCTCCAACTTTTCCACCCACCCGCTCAAATCTCTAAAACCCTTCACCGCTAACGGATGCCTTGTAGGATCGTACGGGAAATTCGCCTTGATGCAACTCGTCGTCAAAAAAGTAAACCTGCCCCCCTTCGGTGCCTCGTTTTGTCGCGGAGCCGTGGTGAAAGTCCCAGAATAATTCGAGCTAGTATACCACCGATACTTCGTCTCCGGCGTTAAGTGATGAATTGCTAACGTCCCCGTGAAATCCGTTTCTTCAGACAGGGAGGGGATCGTGTCAACGAGATGCAAGTCAATCGTAGGGTCTTCGCCGTGCGAATACCATACTGAAAGTGGGTAGCGGGTAGAGTCTGGTTCTCGCAACAGGACTCTCGCGGAATCAGGACCGACATGACCGATGCGAGCAAAACTGAGATTTTTGCTAGGATAGAAGTATGTTGTTCGAAAAGTTAGATCCCATGTTGCGGCAGCAAGCAGCGTATTTATCGCAAACGTTACTAGACTTAGCTTCCCGGAAACGGAGGGGGTGCCCCAGAGGAGGTGCTTGAGAGGATGGGGCTGGCGCCTTCGGTAGATGGTTGTTTCAGTAGCCTCGATTGCAGTTGGCTTTCTTGTATCTCTGGTCGCTCTTCCGCCCGTTGCTGCTCGTCTTGATGCCGTTTTGGCATCGTGGTCGGCCGGCAAAATGTTGATTTCGGAGGAACTAGCTACCACTTCGTACGACGGCTTGCCCAAATACAAGATAGCGAAAAGAGACGCATAAATCCCGTACGCGGTGAATATTGCCGTGGGGAAAACCTATGACATCTCTTGTCAACCACACCCTACTCCCTCCATACTCAACTATGCGGTGATCAGAACTCACATGTCCGGGCATCTACAACACACAAACATTTCATTAGCAACAACCCCAGCACGCTACCAACCTGCTCAGAATTGACAAACAAACCCATCGCAAGAACACATAACTCCCAACGCGAACAATGATAGAGCTTAGGGCGCACAGGGCCGTGAAAACCGGTGCCGAGTCCATTTTTTGCGGTTGATTTCCAATGGATAGGAGAAAAGGGAGAAAGGAATCTGGACGCCCCAGCTACCGATAATGAATGAGCGAGTCCTGGCTATGACGCAAGTATGACGGGCCAAGCTGCCATCCGAGAAGGTCTGATCACCGCGTCTCTCATCTTCAGGGGGGATCTGATAAGACATCCAGAATCCTTTCGAAGATCTTGGCGTGCATATATGCCACTACTTGTTGGATCCAGACCTTGATTTGACTCTGGACAAGAGCAAACTTTACCCTCACACATAAGTTACGAATATAAAGGTGCAGAGGACGGGAGCGAGAGGGAAGACAAACTGACATCATCAAAGTCCTTGACTCTTGGTAAACAGGGATGCCGGATAAATGATGCATCCACCGCAAAGTCTCTAATTTACTCGAGTAATAGCAAAGGCGAGCCTCCTCACGAGATGGAACCCGGAGAAGCCAAGATTTTTCATGTTTTTCCACTGGAAATGCTCAGTCTGCATGTAAACTGGGTTCTGCTGAACAAAGTATATACCAGTAATTACCTTGTTATGGTACGATCCTTTTCTTTCCCTCCAAGAGCCCCTGTGCAGTTGTTTCCTGGGCTCGAAAGCTATCTAGCTGTGATCGGGACGGTAGGGACTGCAGTGGCTCCCGCCAATTTATAAAGTCCTGGCTAGGATAGATAGTTCAGTTCCCCTCGACCTCGAAAAAGACCGGGGATATTTTGACAGATCATAAGTACGAGTGCGGCCGATAGATATATTCGTCACGTGGGTCTGATAAGAGATTTTTGGCGAGGGTTTCCCACCAAAAGCTTTTTTATCAGACCCACGTGACGGATATATCTATCGGCCGCACTCGTACAGTACTGTACAGGAATCACGACTTGTCACCCGGACACCCCTGCACGGCCGTACTCGAGTACATAAAACTCAACCAAAGTGCATTACCGGCAGACTATATCAAACTTATTTGACACGACCAAGTGTAATAGGGTGCTAGTAAAAACAGTGTGCAACGACAAAGGGGTACCGGGCTCGTGATTGGGCTCGTGTTTCCTATGAACTACCCGTGTAGGCTACGGTACTTGTATGATGCAAGGAACAAAGGAGATGTCATTGCCAACTGGACACACCCCGCATATACAATACAAGTAGCATTGAAGAGTGCCCGATCGTGGTGAAAGGCTTATTTGATAGACTCAAAGCTAATAATAAGTTTACCTCAAGCAGATGGAGCACTTGACACTAGTGACATGCCCGTACCGGCCTTATCCTGTCATTCCCGATTGGATTACGCACAAAAACAAAAGACCGCGATTGTATCCCGCCTACATAAAATTCTCCCAAAATCAATTTCTGCCCCCCTCCAAGACCATCCCATTACAGCAACCAAACAAAATACTCAAACAATACCGTATATCGGGTAATTCCCTAGCCATCACCTCCAAAACTACTAATAAAGTACATAATATAATGTATGCTAAGCCACGATATAATAATAAAAATTGCAGCGTAGCGCATCGTAGTGTGCTAAACTACTAACTCTCTTGTCTGCTTTCCTCTCATGTAGTGGGTGGAACAGGAATATAGCATCTGGGCAGATAAAGTTGAAATCAAGTTAATGAGAAGAGAAGTGATAAAACGAAACAAGTTCACAACACCAGTAATACAATGACGGCCGGAGAAAAGAGATAAGAGAAATGGCGCAATGATGGTAATAGAGCGGAAAGGAAAAAAATGCAAGGAAAAATAATAGTAAGACTTTTACTGTTCGAGCAACGCGGCGACACCCCGGGCTCGATGAAAAAAACTCGAAGAAATCCCGAGTGACCGATCAAGAAAAGGACGAAAGAAAGGAAATAAAAGAATTGCAAAACACAGCCCGCCATTAGTCCACAGCCTGCACTTCCCGCTGAGTCTTCAGCCCCTTTATTTGTTTATATATTTATCTAGTGGATAGTCCCGTTTCTAGGTAAACGTTTAAGCGAATTCTGTAAAGCGATAGGAAAAGTGAGACTGGTTTTAGTTGGGGCTAATGCCCAAAGCGTCGTTGACCAATGCCTGTTCTTCCTTCTATTGGGGTTGTTAGTAAAGCATCCAAAGATGCGGCAGACCTATCAGCACTTACCAAATGGGTCGACTTCATCCCAGTAGCAACACTGGCACTTGGAGCTCTACCAGCGTACTTGACATGCTTTGCGCTGTGGTTATCAGTTTGGCGGAGGATAGTCTCCAATCTCGGCTGCACAAAGGTCCAGGCACCTGCGTTGAGAGGCTCTTCCTGTGTCCAAATAATCTCGTCAAGATTGGGGTATTTCTCAAGCTCGTTGCGAATCTGGGCCCAAGGGAAGGGGTGAAGCTGCTCGATACGAGCGATAGCAACATCGTCAATTCCGCTAGCGGCACGTTGTTTCATAAGGGCAGCATAAACCTGCCCGGAACAGAAGAGCAGACGTTTGCACTCCTCGGGATCCTTGATGCCCTTGCCATGGTCGGTCTCTGGGATAAGCCATCGGAAGTGAGAATCGCCCGTAAACTCGGATAGTTCGGAACGAGCAATAGGATGTCTCAGGAGCGATTTACTAAAGAATATTATGAGCGCTATACATAATCGTTAGCTGCAGGCTAGATGCATTAGTAGTGAAACCTTACGCTTTCGGAATTGACGCTTCATCTGCCTTCTCAAAACATGAAACAAATTAGAAGGGCTGGTCATGTAGGTAACTTGCATATTGCAATCTTGGTGTTGACGGTCCAATTTTTCGGGGTCCGGGAATTCCCTAGGATCTTCGTTGCACAGCTGCAGGTATCTCTCCATTCTCCCGGAGGAATGTTCAGGGCCTTGCCCATCGTAGCCGTGAGGGAGAGACATCACAATGCCGGTGCGTTGAAGCCATTTTGACTCTCCGGAAGCGATAAACTGATCAATGATACATTGCGCGTTGTTCGCGAAGTCACCGAACTGAGCTTCCCAGATAACAAGGGCATCCGGTGATGACAAAGAATAACCATATTCGAACCCGAGACTATAATACCATCAGTTCTGTATAGCCCTTAAGAAAAGCGGCAACCCGAAACCTACACTCCGAATTCACTCAGAGAGGAGTTTGAAATGACAAATTTTGCCTGCGTGTCACTTAAATGCTGAAGGGGGGTATAGGTGTTCTCGTTCTCCTGATCGTGCAGAACGGCATGTCTCTGGGAGAAAGTCCCACGCTCAACATCCTGTCCACTGACGCGAACATGTTGCCCTTCCATTAACAAACTACCAAAGGCAAGGGCCTCCGCTGTGGACCAGTCGATCCCACTGCCTTCGTTAACAACCTTCTGGCGGTTGGAAAGGATACGGCTTAGGTTTTTGTGGACGTTAAACCCCTCTGGGACGGAGCCGATAACGTTGCCAATGTGCTTTAGTTGACTCTCCTCAAGAGCTGTAGGGAGATGAGGCAAAATCTCTGTCGACAACTCCTTTGGTGTCTTAAAACCTATGATTCTGCTCAGTACTTGCTCATCGTTCCCGGATATCTTATCTGCAAACTAACCGTTCCAAGCGGAAGCCAGCCATTCCCTAGCAGTCGGTTGATAGTCTTTAGACTTGGCGAAACTATCTTCGAGCATAGACCATACCCTGCGTTTCATGTCAGCCGAGTTCTTGCACGCTTCCAAAGGATCGCCTTCTCACCAATCCTTGTGTTCTTGGATATCGCTTTCGGTAAAAGTGCCCTCCGCTTTAAGTCGAGAAATGTAGCGGTCCAAAGCCGGTTGCTTCTCAGCAATCTTTCTATACATGAGAGGTTGAGTAAAACTGGGTTGATCCGTCTCATTGTGGCCGTATTTCCTGTAACAAACCAGGTCGATAACTACATCGCGCTTGAATTCAGCCCTCCAATCGGAGGCAAGTTCACAAACAAAGTTGACAGCCTCGACATCATCGGCATTTACGTGGAAAATTGGCGCATCAATTGACTTTGCGATATCCGAACAGTACGGCGTAGACCTAGCAAAACGAGGATCGGTGGTGAAACCAATCTGGTTATTGACAATCAGGTGGATGGTTCCACCGGTGGAATAAGCGGGGAGGGCATGAAAGCCCATTGTCTCGTATACAACACCTTGCGCAGCAAAAGCCGCATCTCCGTGCACCAACACACCCATAGCACTATTATGACTCTTTTCGTCGTTATTGAAATGCTGAATCGCACGAGCTTTACCAAGGACAACAGGGTCCTCCGCTTCCAAGTGTGAAGGGTTAGCGACTAGAGATAACTGTACCCGTTTCCCAGAAGGTGTGGGACGCTCGAAATTCATTCCCAAATGGTACTTCACGTCCCCAGAGCCCTCATCGCTTGGCTCGGCAGTGCCTCCAAACTCACTAAAAATACTCTCGTTCGGTTTTCGTACGACATTAGAGAGGACATTCAAGCGACCGCGATGGGGCATTCCGATAACGATGTCCTTGACCCCGCGATCAACAGACCTATCAATAAGGGCTTTCATGCCCGGCACCAGAGCCTCACATCCTTCAAGTCCAAATCTCTTGTCGTTTGGGTATTTGCTCGACAAGAAGTTCTCAAAAGAGCTAGACCAGATCAGACGGTCCAGAATACGGCGTTTCTCGTGGTTGTCATATTCCCAGGGAGTAGGGATTTCGACACGCTCACGGATCCAGTCGCACTGGTCACGGTCCGCAATGTGAACATACTCAATGCCATAAGAGCCACAGTAGGTCTTTTCACAAGCAGCAATGATCTCCCTCAATGTCATCTTCTCCTTCCCGTCTACAGCAAACCTCGGAAGGATACCAGGACCAAGGGTGTACTCATCATCAAGGTCCTTCTCAGTGAATTGGTAGTGGTCAAGGTCAAGCTCTCTAGGTTGTGACGTTCCGCCGAGATCTGCATTTGAACGGATACCGAGGGGGTCTATATTCGCTTTATGGTGACCGCGAACTTGATAGGCACGTACGAGAAGTTGCACCTTTAAATGCTTGGTGACATCGGTATTTCCACCGAGGTGTGCACCAGGTACGAGTGAGGGAACACCACCGGTGGGGGTAGGAACAAGCGTCGGGGGTGCCTGAAAGGCTTGTGAAGGAAGGCCATTCCCCTCCATATTTCTGAAATATACCTGCCAAGAAATGTGAACGCTCGACGGGTCCTTTTTCCATGAAAGGTACATTTCGTCAATGTAATTGGCAGTATTTCCCTGCAGGAAAGAGTCACTTGGATCCTATTGTGGAAAAGGAATGAGAAGTCAGCTTGATTCTGCAGCCTCATGATTGGAGTTTGCCAAGAGTAGGTGCTTGTCAGGTAGGATGAGATCATAGGTCAGGTAGCAAGGAAAGGGAACCAGTTTGTATGTTCTGGCAAACACCGTACCACTCCTCTAGTTGAAGCATCGGTAGAGCTATTCCTCGAAACTAGATCCAGACATTTCTTGTGCGTAGTCAAGCTGCCCGGCCTGCGAGTAGCTGTGATTCGGGGGGCAAACCGTTCGGCCAGGGAAGCTGTCGTAAGGGTCCTCGACGGGCCGAGGGCAAGCGAGGGGCCGCTATAGCGACATGATGATCGTAAGGTCGATCTAAGCATGTCGGTACTTGTTGAAGGGTTGTGTTCGAAAAATGTTTTTGAGTTCTCGGATCTGGGTGGCGGAGAGAATGGAAGGTGGGGGGGTTATGAAGGTTAACAAGAGAAGAGAAAGGGGATGAGAGTTGCCGTCTGAAAGGCAGAGGGTAGCGCTAAGCAGCAGATGAGGATGATAATACCACGAGTAGTGTTCCCTGCGTAACACGCGGACAGCCTTTCGGTCCCTGGCAGCCTGGCAATCACGACGAGGAAATGGATGAAAGGGAAAAAGGAAGGAAAAAAGAAAAGCCGCCACATAAGTCAGACCTCACTAGGATGGAGACTTCCAAGACCTAGCACGCACAACGTTACAGTAGTAACGAGTACATTTAAAATCCCTCGTGGACTAAGAAAATAACAGCGAAAATCTTATCCAATAGATAATCTCTGCGCCCCAAATGGGATTCTCTCGCCCAATCAACAACCGTGCTGTAGGCCCTGGGGAGCGAATGACCTCCGACAGCTTGGACCATCGTTGCATGGCCCCGGATTCACTCGAGTACCTGGAGGCCGATAGGGGGATCTCGTTCCTGCCGTGCATCGGCTGGCAGTGCTGTTGTGGGAGCGGCAGTAAGCCCGTGTGATGCAGTTATTCCCCTCACAACAAATGCCCATAAAGAGAATCCTCTCAAGGCTTGAGCATGTGTACCCATGTCTCTCATGCTAGGTATTCACTGAGAATCGGTACTTGACGTCCGAAATTTCCACGACATTTAGCTCACTCGAAAACTCACTTCACCCTAGCCATGCAAGTAATCCCCTATGTACTCGAGTATCGGTTTAATACCGGTACCCTGCCCATCGTCAAGTTACATCTCAACGGTTCGGTTTCGCGAGATCACCGGTGTGTTTTTTTCCTTTTATCATATCACTTTCCCGGGCACTTTTTTCCCTTTCCTTTTTCCATTGTCTCAGAGTGGCCGTTTTTTTCCCCACAAAATTCCCGCGCCATTCCGGCCTCCCGACCAAACCGACATCCTATTTGACAACTTTGTTCCATAAACGATCTCATGGTGGTACGGCACCCAAGCTTTGATCAATAAATCCTGTATCAAAAAAGGTCGCCAATCAGATCAACGCCTAGGTGATGCATGCATCCGGATCAATACTCGGCCCGTTCGGATAAAAATTCAGCCCAGAGATCTAGAAAGCGGGATGAATGGGGGAGTGTAAAGAGAGAGAGGTACAGTACGATAACGTTACCGTACCTGTACTGCAATAGAAAACACCAAGAGAATCCCGCCGCTATCGCCTCCCCCGCAGACACTATGACGTTTAACCAGATACTCGAGCACACAAGGGTAAACACAACTTTAATGGCAATAGCAGTCACCATGACCATCCCTTGCCATAGGTGGGAGCACGGTAAGCCTGCAGCCGCAGACGTTAAGCGCTCCCGACCCAATCATTACTCTTGTTAACAAATCAACCAAGAGGTGGTCAGCAAACCCTTCAATTTGAAGATGAATGCGTTGGAGCATCGTACTCGCACAGCACTGTACAGTAATCGAGCAGTTGCCTCTCCTAGTAAGGCGCTGCGCATGTTCCTTTTGCTTTGCCTCAACTGAGGGCCAAGTTTAGAGTGCTTTTTTCCCCCCGTGATGGTGAGAGGGGGAATTCCGGCGCTCTGCCATCGCACTCCTGTCTTCTATCCGAGTTCCCGCGGTTCGTCAGCGATCAGCGATCGCCCGCTCGCTCCAACTTCATGAACCATTAATACGGTATCCCATGTCATGAGCGCCCCATTCGGGCTCCAAAATCATGACAGTTCATCTGATTTCGCTCCCCGCCATCCCTCTAATCTCGTGACTCGGGGGCGAAAGTTCTTGAGAAGGATGAATACCGGTACTTTCCCGACACCATATTATAGCCCGAGTCCTTTGGCGGCGCTGGATCTCACTAACTGGTTTTCGGGCTGGTGCCGCGATTTACAGGAGGCCAACGGAGATAACAAATCGAAAGGGTATGATAGGTTTAACTACTTCAGAAGTGGCTACCCGCCTGACTCATAACAACCATAACTCACATACCCGCAAGTTCGCCTTGTTGAACCCTTCAGACAAAGATCGTTGCTATCCCGCCGACATCCTGGTCAAGCACAGAAATATCAAACAGCAAGGTTCAAACAAGGTGTGAGAGTGACAGATAGTGTGGGTAGGCTGCCGTTGGTCTGCAGTTTCCCTTGGATACGCGAGGGGGACAAACCACGCAGCACAGGCTCGGCCATTGAATAAGCGAAAACAGGGAACAAGTTACATGTTTCCGTTGAGAGCAAACTTTGGTCTTTGTTCGAGCAGTTAATCTATGGTGTACGGATGGAATGTCAGTTACTAGTATTACGGTACTATTGCAAGCGGCCGAAAGTATGATAGACTGCGATATTAAAGCAAAATTATCATCAGACCGACGGTGCACTGCACTCGATCAAACATATCAATACCTAAAAACTACTGTCTCATACTGTATGATACCCGCAAGTCTTCATATCCCGAGGCACGGCAGCCCACCAGACCCTCGAGTCTCGGACAAACCATCACATCATACTTAGGAAATTCGCACTCCGCATCCATATAAAGATAAATTATATAACACAAACTCACAAAAATTTTCTACATCCGACGAGCAAAAAAACAAAAAAAAAGAAACTCTGAATGACATTTCCAGCCCTCAATTCACCACATTCCCACAACAACCATACAAGTAACAGTACTTGCTATCACGCTCACGTGCATTTCCGCATTCACCAAAATCACAAGCGCAATGTGGCAAGTCCCGAACAGGCTACGCGCGACATTTACCGTACTCGTACTAGAATGGGAAAAAGGAAGGAAAAAAAAATTGTTCATTGAGAACAAGTCTTGGCGAATACTGTAGAGTTTTTATTTTTCGCAGGAGTGGGGGGGTATTGTACTGTACTGTACATGAGCTGAATGAGTGAAGGCGTGGCGTTTATAATACGGTGATTCGGAAGTTCGGATTTCTCGGGTGTTGCTGTACGGGTACTTAGTGAGATGGCTTTTGTTTGCCTTACTGTACGAGTATCATTCAAAGTGGGGGGGGGGTTACTCTACAGTATGATGATGGCATGTGCTGCGTGGTCATCGCTCATGCAGGGAAGCTGTCACTGGGGCTGGAAAGTGGAACGTGGGTGGTTGTTTCTGTTGCATACTGTACTGTACTCGTACATTCTTTTGTGATTTGCATTTTTTAGGGAGAGAGCGCGATGGGGTATGATACAGTATGATTTTCATGACTATCTAGAAGAAATGGGGAAAGCGATCGTCTCGGAAAAATGGGAAGGGACTAGACTACTGTACTGTACACATTGCTAGGACAAGTACGATATATGCAACACCGGACAGTGGGAAGACCCTGATTATGCAATAGACGGTATAACTACGAGCCCAGGCAATAACAAAAAAAATAAAAAGATCCACATTCTGACAGAATCGTATCCTTCTAGTTCCTTCCTCCCCCCCTCAGGCCAGAGATTTCCGCCTTTTGCCTATTCGAGTGATGCGTGATGACTAGACTATTTCCCCAGCGCCATCCAGCAGACAAATTTCCTCCGGTTCCCCTCCCTCCATCACTCCTTTGCCCGGACCAGGCGTAACCCCATTAACCTCCACTTTCTCCTCCCCCTCCCCCTCCATCCCCTTCTCTGCCCGCTTCTCCCTCGCCCACTCCCCGGCCGCCCCGACCGCTGCGACAGGATCCTTCTTATGCATCAATAACAGCCCCTGAATCTCTGCCGGCGTGAACACGCCCTCCGGCAACACCCGGCCAAACTCCCCCGCCAGCTCCAAAATCTTGTCTGCTGAGGGAAACCCCTCCGGCATCCTGAACGCCTCCTGATCGCCTACATCCACATCGTAAAGATTCAGGAATAGCGACTCGATGACGTTGCGCGAAGCACACTTGAAGGAGATCTGCAGATCCACGCGACCGGGGCGTATAAGCGCGGGGTCTAGTCGCTCGCGGTGGTTCGTGGTCATTATCAGGATGCGCCCTTCGCGGGAAGCAGCGCCGTCGATGGCGTTTAGGAGGCCACTGAAGGAGACATTGGGGTTTGTGGCGGAGTGGGGAGGTGCCGAGGGGGGGCGGTCTCGGAATGGGGAGGTGGGGGATGACAAGGAGGTAGGGGGGTCCGCGGCGCGTTTCACGTTTGAGGCGTCAACGTCTTCGAGGAGGACTATGCATCTGCTTGGCAGCATGGTGAAGAGTGTTGCTAATGTGTCGTCCGTGAGACTCCCAGCGGAGAGGGAGAGGGCGTAGACTTCTAGATTGAAGAGGCCCGCTAGGGCTATGCTTAGACTTGTCTTTCCGGTTCCTGAGAACACACGTTAGCACGAGAAATCAATCTTAATCATTGAACGGGTGCGGGAATATACCGGGCGGCCCATAAAGCAAGTACCCCCTCCGGTACGGCAAACCCCGATTCGCGTACCACTTCGCCGTGGCGGGTAATATATACTCTTCGATATCGCTCACAATCAACTCCTTCTGCTCCCTCTCCAGCACTACCGTCTCCATAGACCTATTCGGCCTGGAGAGCGCCCTCTCCCAGCGCGGCGGTATGCCCCGGGGGCCCGTGGTTGCATGAAAAACAACAGTCTTGCCCTGGTCGCGAGCATTGCTCTTCCGCAGCACCTCCTCGAGAAGCTCCTTTAGAATACCCGGATCCCGTCCATACGAGCGTAGCCAGACAATCTTCCGTTGTGGCATACCGTGCATCATTATGCTGTCCTTAATCTCCTCCATAATTATCCTGACCTTGCGCCCCCGGTAGTCGAGAAAGTACCTCGACCCAGCTGCCGGGAGATACTGAACCCGGTAGACTTGCTTTCCACGGGGGCGGTGGCGGCCGCCGTAGAACTCATCGCCCAGATGGCCTCCACCACCGCTGTTGTCGGGATTGGCCGGGTCGCTGGCGACTTTCCGCGCGTTGAGGGTACGGCTCAGGTCCAGGTCCGCAGCCTGCTCTTCGGACAGCCAAGTGAAGAAGTCCCGGAAGAGCGTGTCCTCAGAGTTTATCCGCACGGAGGCGCTGAAGTACCTGTCTATCAGCGCGGTGACGGTCGAGTAACTCAGGTTGTAGCAGGTTATTAGCACCGTGGAGATCATGACCGCTGCTGTCGCGGTGTTCATGTCTATACCAAGACAGCGCATTGCGCGCTGCATCCGCCCAAAGCCTGGTAGGCGTTCGAAGAGGACCGTAGTGATGCCGAGTGCGCCGATCAGGCTTTGTGGGCCGAGCGGTAGGCTGGAGGCGCGCGCGTGGGAGACTTCCATCAGTTTGTTCATTTGGGAGGTGGGTTCGTTTTGCTTGTGTGAATGGACTGCGCCAGTATGGTATGCCGGGGTGTATTTTCCCGGCCGCAAGTGTCTTCAGAAATCCATTCACTAGGTCAGCTTCCAGCTGGTATTTATAACCCTGTCCGAGCTTCGAACCCTCTGACTCACGTAAGTAGCTCTTATAGCGACGGTTCTAGAAATGGGAGCAAGCGAGGCAGGTACAAGTAATGTAGTGATGGCGGAGATGTTTCTTCCAATTGTAGCCACTGTTGTGAATACTGTAGTTTCTCCTGCACGCTGAATGAACTCAACGCGGCGGGGAAGCATCCTTGCAGTGTTACCTGACAACCAGTCAGGCTGAGCACAAAAGTGCGCTTTTGCTTGATGCTTGTACGAGTACGGTACCGGTACCAGTCAGTGGCTCTCTCCGAGGAATGGATTTCCACATCCTGGGAGCCTTGTACTTACTGTACGGTACTTATGCCATAAAAAAGCCCCTTGTAAGGCTCGCTACGGTATCATTGGTGGCCTAAGATAGGTTTAGTTTGACAAGTTACTTGTAGAAAAATTGCTTATACCAGTTAATGAGATCCAACATGTCCCAAAGGCAGATCTGATCCCGTGATAGGAAAGCGCTAACCGCCCATAACACCTTTTGCCTCTGAGCTCAGGGATTGGAGGGGTATCGGAGATAGCGAATCCCAAGACCTCCTTTTACAGGGTGATGATATGATACTACCGCTAAGTGAGTCGGATACAAGGTCCGGCAAGAAGTTATGGGACAGTTATTTTGAGTTACCCAGCCAAACATATCCCTACCTGGACCTGTTAATGCGTTTCAACCCTTGTACCCGCGGTAACGTTAGTGAACAGTTAACCAGCCAAGTGACCCGTGTCGGTGCGATCCCCCTGGCACTTTTTTCCATAGGTTGGGGTCCTATTGCAGGTATCATACTGGCTAGGGCAGGCTATTCACGGGGGCCGCTAAGCCTTTGATAGGGAGCATCCCTCGTTAATAACACAGCCGGTTGACACTGTACTCGTGCGTCTCAGCCAAGAATTGGTTTCCCCATTTGTAGTAGCCTGTGTACGACTGGTATTTTTCCACCAAAGAAGTATAGTGCATCAATATTGCGCAACTAGTATGTAACTAGATAACCTGTAATACTTTGTAGGCAGATGACAGGAAAGCTCAATATCAGCACATCCATTCTATAATGCCCAGTTGGAAGAGTCTTTCTATATCAACCAAAGCCACTATAGCTGCCCTTCATGTATGCGCAGGAATGACTTTTGACTAACTTGCAGTCTCCCTGTAGGTCAATAAAGAAAGAGCATGATAGATCTTTAGGCAAATTGAGGAAGAAAGTAAAATTAAGCAATCAGAAAATTAATTAGATTAAATTATTGAATAAATAAGAACTATCTCTGCATGCTTGCAGAATTCAGGACTTATTAGCAACAGTGGAGATTGGAGATAAGACTTGTATAGATCCAGCTATTTTACAAAAGTATTCCAAAGACTTAGAAGAATCAAAGTGGATATGTGAACTTGCTTTACAAGATACTGAGTACCGCCTTATGACTTTCCCAGAAATCACATATGAGGTATGAGTAGATATCAGCAGAGCAATAGCCTATCATATGATGCAGAAGCATCATAATTTATTCTATTATAAGCATTACTCCAAGTCAGCGCTCTCTCCAAAAGGCAAATTAGATAGATTGTAGTTGGTAGAATGGGAGTTGGTACAGCCTATTGAATCTTTCATCTTTAGTGATGAGATGATTTTCAAAGTAGGTGTACTAAGAAGGCTTTGAAATATCACAAGAGAGAAAGGAGAAGATTCATATACTTTAGCAGTACTGGATAAGAAGAAGTTAGAATTGAGTATCATAGTTTCTGTCACGAACGTGAGATGGCAAGGAAAGGATTTTCACATAACTCATAATTATGAGTAATAGGTATGTTATTGTTTCGTGCACATGACCACTTTGGTCATATGACTTGTTTGTGTTATGATTTATTATGTTTCATACATGATTCAATTATGAGTTATGGGATGTACGCCTGGTAAGTGTGCCTTGTGAGTATGCCTTGGGTATACGATTTATGTTTTGCAGAGGACCTCATTATAAGGTCATGAGTTTTGCGCATATGACCACTTGGAGTGATATGACTTGTATACTGTGTTATGATTGGTTTATGAGTTTACATACATGACCTTGCTATGAGGTCATGGGATTTGAGCATGTGACTACTTTGGTCATATGACTAGTTTGTTATGATTAGGTTTGTGCATGTAACCACTTTAGGTCAGATAGCTTAGGGTGAGAAGAACACTATATAAGGAGGCCAGAAAGGCTGAGGAGGATAGCTTATTCAGGCATCATTCTAAGTACTTTTTCTACTCTTAAATTTACCTCATCTCAGAAGTAGGCACACTAATACTTTACCTTATTACACTCATGACAAATACTTCATCACTGTTACTTGTTTGTGTTTTCTGTTTAAGTAGTAGGTTAGAAATAGTTGTCCTCACTTAGATGGAACTTCAGTGTGAGATATTTATAGCCTGGTCTTGGTAATCACTCAGTGTAGTTTTGGGTAAGGATGGCATCTTCAACAGCCTTCTCCTCCATGGACTCCCTCTCTCCTTCAAGGATGTTGTCCCTAGTTCGATTCGACTCTAACACCTTCTCCTTGCTTGAGACTGCCCATGTGGCCTTATCTCTTGCTCCTATCACTGTGGCTGACCATGGCCCTATTCCTACAACTATAAGGCCCTATGTCCCAGCCAAAGTGGACTTTAGTTTCCTACAATTTTACTACTACCATGGTTGCCAGAATACGATGAACCTTCAATGTGATCAGGAAGTTTGGCAAGCGGTCGCTGATGTGACTGCTACTATGATGAAAGAAGTGGAGGTTTTGGTACAGAGTTTTCTAATAGGGAGAGAGGCAGTTCAGTCATGTGTGGTTTAAACAAGAACTCGACCATAGGACTCTTCATTTAGTTCAACTCTGACCACTGCTCGAAATACTCTTCAGCCCCTGAAGCCTTTCCCACCAAAGATTCTCAGGTTATTGACCTTGAGTTCTTCCTCCTCCCAGCTAAAGTGTTAGGTGGAGACAACTTGATAGACTTCAAGATTATCTAGGCCAATCGAGATTCGTTTTTGTAGACGGAGATTGTCTAGGAAGGCTCGGACTTGGCTCGTTTCGTTTATGACTACTAGGAGCGAAGTAAAGTAGGTAAAGTAGGGTAAAATCGTAAAAACAATATTATATTGTTAAGGTCTCTTATCCGTTGCTTGATGATGTCTAAAGCTTGGGAGGCACTTCGATATTTATATTCTGCGTTTGAGTGTTCACGGACTACATCTATTTATCATACAACTATGTACTTCTTTAATCGTAATTCACAATGTCGAGTTTTCTTCCAAGGTGCGAACACCTGTAGACCCTGAAAACTATCACACTTTCTTCGGTAATTACGATATTTCTTTTTAGAAAACATACTGTTCCCAATAGTAATATCCTGATTAGCAGAGTCTTTAGACTTATGGCCTAGTTCTTAAGTCGAACTGAGTTGGCTCTAATTGTCTTTGCTATTGATAAAATGATCAGTTTTATCCACGGCTATATCTGCAAAGGTGGTCGTCATTACAACCATCGTAGGTCGTCTGACTCCTATCCTTTGTAACTCCATACCCAACTAATAGATTTTCTCTAGATGACTTCCTATCAACTTGCAGGAAGCTATTCCACCAGATTGGTAAATAATTCCTCAGTTGGCAACCCCTGGTTGCTCTCTGGGTAATAGGTTTCAGTAATCATTGTAGTATTGAGGATCATCCCATGATTACGACGTGTTCCTAAACCCAGTTGCAACACTCCGTGAAGTTCGTTGGCTTCTTTGGTAGTGCCGTTTGGAGTTCTAGACTCTTCTGGTGGATGTAAATGTATTGGTCTCTAGTAGAGATCCTTTACCATTTAATACCATCTCTTTGTGCGAAATCGTCCCATTCCTTATGGCCCATACCAGAGGTATCATGTCTTTAGAGCCAAGTAACTCTCTGAGTAGTTGATGGAATCACTCCGTTCCACTTCCCAGACCTAGCTGAAGGTCCCCTCTCATATATCCTGCGAACAGGATCAGGTTGGACGGACGGTAGCGACGTATATGGTGTTATTCTAACACCTTCAATTCTGTAGTAATATAGTCACAGGACACAACTGAGATTGATATATCTGATGACGCGCGGGCCCCGTAAGGGAGCCAGAGGGGGGTGTTGGAGACCAGAGATTCCGATCCCAAGTGGGGTCATCCTACTTAGAGTGGTTTCTAGGTATCAGGTTCTGGTATTCCTAACATAAAGACAATTTAACTGCTACTAAGGTTGAGGCCACCTCTTGGTCCGCTCTCCTCCTCTCATACTAGGACCATCCAAAGCAAGATGTCTAGTTTCCTCCACTAGGGTCCAATCCAAGAAACTGACTCTTCCACCCCCTCCTTCCTAGTTGAGATGTTGTCCAGTAAAAAGGCTCTTTATGAGACCTGGAAGTCTAAGCTGGATGATCCCCAGGATAAGGACTACAACCTTCTTGCTACTAAGATGTGTCATAGTAAACAGTTAGCAGTCTCCACTAAATGATCTGCCGCCCCTCCCCTTGGTCTTCTATTTCTAAGGGCAATCAATGTCGATGAAAGATGGAAAAAAGAGATTGTTTCCATCCTCTCTGGCATGCCCCTAGATGTTCATCATGGGGGCTCAGCTATTCTCCCCCCTGTAGTGCTCCTATCAACTATCGATGCTACATCCACTTTTCTGTCCCTGCTAATAACTCAGGATATTCTACCCACCTCTCAGGTGTTGGCCAGGGACACCCTTATAGGCCTGGAGAATGGACACAACTCTGAGGCGACTCGTCTGGGCGACAGTATACATGCCCTCTCTCCAGCACTGGCTTGCTCGCCTCCGGCCGTTGCTGAATAATAGATGTCCTCTCCTGATGGATAGTTAGAAGATTCCTTGGAGATCCAACATAACAGTCAGATCCCATTAGAGGTACAACTCGCGGACATCCAGCCCAAGGTCACTGACGTTGCTTTAGCTTGGACAGA